GACTACCGCTTTGTTTGTTGGTTTATTTCTGTTGTTGATGGTGCTGAGGATTAAAACCAGGTCCTTTGCACTAAGCTATATGCCCCATTTTTATTTTTTATTTTTGTATCAAAACAGGATCTCACTCGGTCACAGGTTTGCCCAGGCTGGGCTCAAAATTGTGATAGTCCTGCTTTAGATTCCCAGAGAGCTGGGACTACAGGACTACAACAACAGTCCTGATTAAAGGACTGCTTCTTAATCTACAACAGACAGATCATATAAGAGGATCTGTGTGTGTGTGTGTGTGTGTGTGTGTGTGTGTGTGTAATTTGATGGCGCACAGTCAGATTTGTACTATTTTATATCAATATCTCCCCTCCAGAAAATATACTCTGTAAAAAATATGTGGATGTGGTAGACACAAAGATGAGAAAGCATTTTGGGGGCAAATCTTACAAAAGATTGAGAAATACATGAAAACCAACATCTGGAATTTTAGTTAAACTTTTCCCAGGGTACAGTTCAACCATTTGTTCAACAAATATTTATTGAACATCTGCTGTATATCTGGCACTGGAGAACCAGAGATGAATCAGATAAAATCCCCTGTTCTCTGGAAGTTCACGGGCTCAATGAGGTCAAAGTGGTTATGTCAACAAATCATGACAGAGCAGGATATCATCTTCTATAGTAAGCCACAGTGGAAGGAGTCACAAAGAGATGGATAGGGATGAGGTCTAGGGAGGATTCCTGGAAGAGATAACTTTGGAATTCAATTTCAAGCTTTGGATCTTATTTACTCATTCATTTTCTCATACCAGGGAGACAATATGATGTTTGTGCATGTGATTCTGATTTATTTCACTTACGAGTATGGTGTCCAGTTGCATCTACTTAACTACAAACTCTTTGAATTTGTCTTTATAGCTCAGTGGTACTTCATTATATAAAATGCTACATCTTTTTTAAAAAATCCATTCCTTTGTTGATGGGCATTTGAGCTGTTTCCTTGCTTTGGGTTGTTTTACTCCCTTGATAAAAGGAGCAGCTTTTGAGAACAAGATAGTGATGAATAAAGATTCAAGGAATATGGAAAATCACAGCAAACTTGGAAACTAAAAATTAACTTTCCATTTTGGGCTGAGATAATTCATGAGAGAAGAGAAAGGCTGTGAGGCTGGCAGGCAAGGTCAAATGCAGCTGAAGGGAGCAGTTGGAGGCCCACTTCATAGGCATGAACTGTGTTGTAGAAGCAAAGGGAAAATAGTAGCATCTTAGGCAGGAGGGGTTGATGTGTTTAAGCAGGGTGGTTGATTATGTTTGAGTTTCATAGAAACTTTGACATGGCTGCACTGACAAAGGTTCTACAATCTGAGATACAGGATCTCAGGATAAATCCTGAGGGCATTTCACTGACCTTCTCAAACCAAAAAGCTACAACTCTTGTTGCATAGGTTCAG